AAACACGGGAGCGCCATAAAGAATGGAGTATCTCCGCCTTTGGAATAGTTTCCAATTCGAGTGGTCTTGAAAATACGCAAATAATGGGTCATTCACGGTGTTCCATACTAAGTATATACTCTGGGATATATTGAACCATGTTTGTGATAATTTATAATTGTCGAGAAAAAACTTGACATAGTAGAACGATAATATGGAGTGCATCATGGTGTACCCAAGGCCCGTGGCAGCGTATGCCAGGGCATTCTTGTCAAACATCACCATTGTCCAATCCACAACCGTTGTATTCAGTCAGTCTGAAAAATATAATATTGAATGAGCGTGTGTTCTATATGCAGTTGCAATGGAATAAGTATTATGGGAAGGTGATCTTCGCCCAACGCCTTCGATATGGGTTCCCTGCAATGTAAACGTAACCATTGTCTATTTACACAAAATTGGAACGCACACACACCCTCGGTTAGGTGAATACAGTCGTCTTGAAAAATGATACTATATATCTACCAATCATGTGACACATTCCTGGCCACACAGGGACAAGGGTAGGTCAGACTTTTTTCGACCAGCCAGTAACCTATATAGTATGTAATTATAGATCTAAAAAAAGCTTTTCATCGAGAATCGGCGCTTCTCGCCTACTTCTCATCTGTATGCTATCCCCTGACAAAAAGTACAAGTTAAGAACACCCCCAATTTAATGTGGGGGAGTCGTGACCAGCGCATGCGTCAGATGGCCATAGCGTGTCATTGTTTACAAACAAGCGTCCACACATGAGCCTTTGCGTTTTTAGCATGTGTTGTTATCGTCGCTTGGGACTCGATTCCCGGGCGTGCGCAGGTGACGACCCTCTCGCTTTAATAGCAAAACATGGTGCTCGTTGTGTTTGACTCATAACCACACAATTAGCGTATGGCTCTTTTATTGTCATTAATCATTGCAATATAATGTGTGAAAAAAAAGTGTTCAAGTGTTTAGATTCATAAATTGATTCACATTCTAACAGAGGGAAATACACGTGTGACATCGTCTCCATTGCCAGTCAATATTTTGTAGTAACTAGACAACGTTCACCTTTGTGCATTTCTTCTTGGATGTTCACACGTATATAGTTCTTTTAAGTAATAACTGATTTCAGAACCGTCTGAATAAATCAGAATAGCACAGTTTATTGCATATCTAGTGCATATTTTGTGGTAATGTCATTGCGCAAGGGCTCTATGAGTTAACCCCATAATATTAACCTCAGCGCATCGTCAGGAACGCCCCGTGAATTGGTTAATACTCCACATATATCAAGAAACTTTTATCAAAACCACCTAAATGTCCTAATTATAAAAACTCAATAGCACAAATTAACAGTTGTTTTCCCCCTGGTATATAAATATTTGAGACTAATGTTTTATTATACAGTTCATAATGGTATAATCATTCGTAATCGTGACAACGAGAAAACAATTTTATATATTTTATAAAAAAATTCAATTTGGCAACTATAGCAACCAAAATAATAACAATTCCAGTCATCAGCACTTTGTGATTGAGATAATGGCCCCAAACTTGGACGGGGCATTTCTTGAAGCATAAATTTTTATTCATAGTTCAAATAAAAATGTTTCTGGCTCGTATCTGGGCGGCTTTCCGTCTGTACGTTCTGCTGCTTTCAATCTCACACGAGGCAGTAACCGTTTTCAACCCAAAAGGGATACGCTACAGGTCACAAAATGGAACCAACCAGAGTTAAGCCTCATGGTCATAACAATGACAGCGTTTCGTTAAAGAAGAGTTTGAATATTTCAAAACAAACACGAAAACTACTCATTTAAAGATAGAACGGGCCCTGTTTATGTCATTTCGTTTGTAGTTACGTCAATTCTTTTCATTTTCTTGAAAACTAGACTGCTGGTCAGCCACTTTTTTGTTGTATTGACGCATTCTTATTGAATAATATTTAATATATAATAATATATAAAGTTATTTAAAATTTTCCCATTGACTATTTTTTTACAAGTATGGAAACTATTAGAAACAAATCACGTTGTGTTAGATTTGCCAGTTCATTGGGTATTTCTCTAATTCTCAACTAATAAATAAAGAGATAATTGCTCTTAGTTATCCATGTTATTTACATTATTTGAATAAGATGTCAATCTGGGCATATTTTATTTTTAATTTCATATAATTGCCATGTGCAATGAATAAGATAGTAATACTATTTCATAAATAATTGTTGCGAATAACTAATTTGCAGAAAATTTCACATGGGTAACCTTTTGAACATGCATCAACCTGGGACTATCAATCAATCACTGTCACGAGTAAGGCCAATAATGATATGGCAAGGGCAAATGTAATATTATTAGCATTAATAATAAGATTATATCCGTAAAACAACGAAGGAGGAAGTCGGTTACAGATGTCGATTAGCGCCAGCGTTTTATCTCCGAACGGTGTTTACTACAACGATGTTTAGGATCCGGTACATCAATTTAACGACGGCGCTACACATGCGGTTGTTGTTGTGTTTTTTTCACAGACGTTCTTCAACGCAACTGTCTGACAATCGCCGGTGGGATATCGTCTCATTTTACAAAGTGAGAACATGGCTCTGAGTTGTGCGCACCCGAACAGAATTAAACAGCAATGCGTGACGAGATGTATTGTAGTGAAGCCATATAATATCACAGTCGATATTAAACGACACGATATGTCATGTTTCGATCGGTTACCTTGCAAACGCCGTAACTTTCAGATTTAAGTTTCCGGCGGTCAAGTTACTCGTGAAAAAAATTGCTTTCAACTAAGATTTAGAGACAATACGACTTTAAATTCGATTATTCGGAAGGTGGAGGGGTACTTTAATTTCATCACGGTATACATGTAGGCTACATGGGAGCATTTGCGCCATTTTGCAGGATCTTTAAGTGTTGTGTCGACTCTCCTTCATTTTAACAAAAAAAACGTGTAGAATATATTGACACTGTGGGAGAGTATGATAATATACTGACCTTTATACATCTAAAACCCCAAGAAACACAACGTGCAATCTCGCAAATCATAGCGTGGTTGATTCACCAGGACGACGAAGAGGAAATAACGAATCTTTACTTCCTGGTTTACACAGCTTATTAAAGTACCCGGATGAATGACCCTGAGGTCAAACAAGCCGTGTTTTCAGAACACCCATATAATGTCATGTATAAATAATACCGCAACATCGAAATAAATTATGTAAAGTTCTGTGAAAAAAAAATAATTAAAAAAATGTCTGCATTTTTCACGCACTTTCAACAAAATTGGATAAGAATTTTAATAGTGGGTACCAAACCTTGAAAAATGATTTTCAAATTTAATCTTAAGAACGCTTTGTTAAATGAGATTTAAAAAGATATTTTACGTACTAGATTGAGGTAAAAATGTACACGTTAATTAAATTTAACAATATTGCGGTAGAGTGACTACTAAGTTAAATAAACCATGGATGTATTTTCAAGGTTCAAGACTGACGTAGTGTTTACCCGTATCTGTCGGTGAGGGCGCAGTAACACACGCTTGCTGGTCGCTGTGCACTGGAGAAGTAATGTATCGTTCAGGTGTCCGACATTTGCCCCATACTATTCAACCATTCTAGTATAGCGTGGGAAATTTTAAATTATTTCAGTCAGTTATAAATACGTCGATTGCAACCAATAATTTAGTAACATGAATGGTTTAATTACCATGGCGTATTTTATTAATTCAATATTGGGAATACCGACATATTACTGGTAAATTTCCGTATTATAGAATTATCGAGTGGGACACTGCTTTGTCATGGTATAACAATGTTTTATAATGTCCCACATTCTTAGGAGCTGAACGTCCTCTAAATAGTAGTCATGCGTGTATCTGATATTTTATTTGCTGGTTTTGACACGCACATTATGCAGGTAGTGTGTGTCTATTTTGGTCTTCCTCACAATTGATGTATGGTTTCAAAAAATAGATCATTATGCATAATTTGTTAACAATAGTATAGAGGGAGCTTCTTATGTGACGCACAGAGGGGGAGGCTAAGCTGTTTACTGATTATTACGCGATAGTTTATGAAATCACGATTACTGTGCGTCGTATCACTCCGTCGATGAGCGAGCCATGATCCCAGCACATCATGGGATTGTCACGATGTCGACGGGGCGCCATAATGGTATGCGTGTGTATTGCGAAATACTTTCTGAAAGCGAGTTATTCCATTATTGTACCATTTTACCCAGTAGTGGTAAGTTCAATTTAATTTACGTTTATGCCGTGAAAAATAATCTGATGGTCATAACAAAATATTGTAATAAGAAAATCGTATTTGTAATGAACATATTAATATATTCTATGCGGATACTACGATGATTATTTTGAGTATTCTTTTCTCACTACGTCGACTGTCAGTTGGGGACAGCATATGGCATGACAGTCTGTGACTTTAATATTATTATTATTTTGAATAACTCACCGTCACCGTGACGATGTTACAGTAATTGTCATCATGTTTTTCTGTACACATTCGATGAAAATTTGAGCCAGCGATGAAGTGAACCTCAGGCTCACTCAGCTTAGTCATACATAATCATGCAGGACGCATTGTACTATTAGAACAGTCGTGAATATCCGTTTCGTCCACCCGTATATCGATATAAACACATACAATGACGGTTGTACTTGTATTGGTAATTCATAGAGGACAGCAAGTTGTCAATAATATTCGTTGTATAATGAGTACGAGTTTATAATTTTGTCTTTTTCAACACCGTGACGGACTGTCTTAAGCTATGTTTTCTAGTAACCCTTGTTAATATATCGCTAAATGATAAAGTTTCTCTGTGAACTGCAAATACTTCTATACCTGTTAATAATTGGGATAAAATCATAACACCGAAAAGAAGACACGATTACCTATTCAGTTAGTGAAAGGCTATTTCTGGGAGCGGCAATATTAAAATATACACTTTTTCGACGTCAATATATCATCTTTAAATACGCTGCGTATTTTACCATTTTTTTCCACATTTTGTAGTCTGTGTAGAGCCAAAAATAATGAAAACACGTGTCACCCCCAGTGGTTTTCAAATTCAACACTAAATCTTTTTATAGAAGAATTATTTAAAATATATATTTCATGAAAACTCATAACTGAAACTAATTTAAAATCAATGTTTCTTTAGATACAACCTTAATGTGGTCATGTGACTGCTAAGCGAATAAAACCTTTAATGAAGATTCAAATGAGTTATGTTCGAAAAATTGAAAGTTATACTACATTTTTTAATTAAAAAATATAGAATAAAAGTCAAGTGATTTTGATTCCCTTTTTTTAAATTTATACTTTTACATTTTCACCATAAAATGCTGTTCGTTTTTATATTCAAATAGTGTAATATATATTATATATTCAAGATCTGATGAGTCACAGTGACTAATTCGGTTGATCGTTTTGCTGACAGAATTAAAACAAAGATATACACTAATTTGCATATCAATAGATGACAATTGGAGTTGCTACATTTCTTTTTTTTAAATGGTCAAAAAATCTTCTTTAACTAATGTTTTGACACCCAGTAAATCGTAGATAACAGGTAAGCATCTAAAGAAGTTATAAGTTATAAAACTATTTATACATGACTGTGTGACTTATTTATTATTTAAAATATATGGGAATGTACAAATTTAGTCATGACAACAATGCGGGTTGTTTTAAGCCTCGAGGTGAAAAGAACTCCGTGTTTTAAGCGCGTTGTTTTAAGCATGTTCGATTTATGATACAGCTATGAAAATTTCATAGAATATTTAGACATATTTACAGATTCTATAAAATATGAAAAGTTCATTTTGTTTATCATGTGTCAAAAAACTATTTAAGTGTTGGGATGTTCATTACAAATGCCTGAAAGATGGAAAATGAATTGCTTGTCCACCCAAAATTGTTATCATCTACTCGTATGCTACAATTAACACGATAGATTGTGTTTTGTCACGTGGTATCACAAAATAATAGCGAGCTCAGCGTTACTTGATCATAGTGCTATGTCTCTCAGTAATTCCCGGGTGAGAAAAAAATAAATATAAAATACTGCCAAATACTTTATTTTAGCTGGAATTAATCTTTGCTGAATATACTTTTTGGTCGTTTTGTTTGGAATTTGGAATTTGTTTGAAATTTTCACTGGGTATTGATGAGTTGAATGTAAAATATAGGGAAAAAGGTATATTCGCTGGATTTTATTTTAACTGAATCCTTCTTTCAGCGAAAATAGCGAAAATCAATTCCAACCGAAAATTAAGTATTATCATACAGTATGTAAAATACGCCAAGCTCGCAACGCACGAGTAAATGATTAACAGGTAACATATATAAATATATATTATAACGGCGAGAACACAATCGATAAGATATAACACATGCGTGTGGCCGAAACTTCCAGGGCGGTAATGTTGGTGGTCGAAAATTTTATCATGCATCTGCCAGACACGCGAGTGAGCTCAGAAAAGACGAACCACTAAACGTTATGTAGTGGTCATTAGCTTCCGTTTAGCGTGTATTGTCATGAAAATCTTTATATAACAATGACTTGTCAATTTTTTGATGAGAGACAACTAAAACGGGTGTGATTGATACGGGCTAATACAACCAACCGTCACGTTGCCAAGTGTATCTAAGGCCCAAAACTCGCAGAAAACAATACTTTGGGATGATTGTTGAGACTCCCCTGAGCAGTGTAACAAGATTAGCCCTACGTGTGTAACATATATAAATTTGGTTGTTCGGGATTACTTCAAAGTTGAGTTTGTTTCGTTTTCTCGAATTTTCACCGGCTCGACCGGCGTTCCACAGCAGCGCGCACAGAGCCCATAGAAATGCATGGTACAGTGGTGCGCGTCTTAGCAACGTGGAACGTCTGTGACGTAGCTCCGCCCCCGAGGATACGCGGGGGGCAGAGACTGAAAACCATTTGTAGTTCACTGTAGATTTTAGATGCAAAAGGCTATCGAGATCTCGTTGAGAGCGAGGGAGTGTTTATGTACTTCAGATAGTGCTATATTCTCTCGTGTCATTGCTCCCGACCCACTCCCTCTCAGAACGAGATATCAAAGTGCTCTTTTTGGATACTGATGATGCTCAGCTTTACAGAAAACGCCCCCCCCCCCCACTCAGGATCCATAGGGGGCCGCATGCGCGTTCCCATTTTCTCGGGAAAGGGGGTACTTTTTGACGATCTGTCTCGGGAACATTTTCCCGAGAAAATCGTAGAAAAGGTGGTATTTTTTGCTTGTTTTCCCGAGATTCTCAAAATAGGGGGTGTATTTCAAAACACTTCCCGAGATATACAAAAAAGGGGGGTTTAAAAGGAGTTCTAGACTGAAAAGTTCTCTAGATAGGGGGTGAAATTCATCGGAAAAGCCCGTGAAATGGGGGGGGGGGTAAATTTTCTTCTTTTCCCTAGATAGGGGGGGGGTCAAAAAAATGAGGGAACAAGCATAGCCCCCCCCCCCTAAATATAGGGAGTGGGGGGGGAGAAAACGTTAAAACAATGATATACTAGTATTTGTATCATTCTAAGATTTTTTTGATTTTTTTACAGGCACTTGACAAGGGCGTTGACCCGCTGACAGTGGGATTTATAATGGCCAGCTTTGCTTTCGTTTCCTTCCTTATAGCGCCTCCCCTCGCTAAATCGGTGAGTATAGACAGGGAGAGTATTTTCAATTATAAAATTTATATGGTTTGTCTTTTTTACACCCAGCTTCTTTTACGCCTTTGCCGCCTATTTACAGAATATAATGTTCCGTTTTTTTATTTACCTCATCACTCATAATGTGTAATCATGTAAACCTTTTATCACAGTGAGTGAGAATAATTATATTAAAAAATCCAAAATGTGTTTTGTATCTACCCCCTCCTGCAGAATCGATTATACAATGAACAATGACCTTCGCCATCTAATTACAGAATGGAATGGTCCGCGTATTAATAACCTTCATCCCTTCATCAATAATTTACCTGTTAAACAACCAGCAAAAATCGATATTGTTTATAGTCTTCTCCGAGCGCCTCTGTATCTCAAAGAATGTAGGTCATGTACGGTCGGTACTGCCGCCCCCGCTAACATATGCGTCGTGTTATGTACTGAAACATTTCTATATCTGTATATATATATATTTCTATAACAAAACAAAACAAAACAAAACAAAACAAAACAAAACAAAACAAAACAAAACAAAACAAAACAAGTGAGCATGACAAGTGTAACAATATTGATGCCATTGATAATTTAGATCATGTGTTGCGGGAATGCGATTAAACTCAGAAATTTGGGGGCTCTTTAAAAAAAACTCTGTACATAATTATTGATGATTTTCAATTTGACAAGATTTCCACTTTACATCATGATGTTCCTACTTTATATAACGGTGTGTCTACTTTACATCACGAAATGTCAACTTTTTATCTCGATGTGTTATTTGTCTTCCATGTAGATTCCTATTTTTGGTTACAAATTCATATTTATCCTGGGAGTCGGAGTTTCCGGTCTGGCAGCCCTGATTTTCGGGTAAGATTGATTCAGATACACCCAAATATATATGATTTCAACGAACCGCGTGACATTGTATTCAATATCAGTCTATATTCAATAAAACAGTTCGAATGCGCGCTTCACGACTGTAAGGTAGGTACTTCGCACTTAAGCCGCTCCACTTATGTCGAATATGAGTAAAACAAACCGAAACAGTACCGTGACGAATGCGTTGTTTTTGTGGTCTTGCTTTTGTATTAATAAAAATTGCTGCAATTCTTGCAACGTTAATTATATTTTATGTTGACTTTGTTTTTTTGTTTTTGTTCACCCAGGCTGTTGTATATCATTGATAACACGATATACTTCACAATAATGAGTTTTATTGTCAGAATTATCCAAGCATTCGGCGTACAGGCAGGGAACACGTCCGTTGTCGTGATTGTGTTCAAACTATATCCTGACAATGTAGCCTTTGCTTATGTAAGTATAGTCGGAAAGTAAATATTTCATATACTAGGTATTTCTTCATGGTTGGTAATGGCAACGGCTAAACGAAAGTTATGTTCCAATTTACATACGCCGAGCAGTTTTGCCGCCTTCTGCACAGATGCAGTGAATATCTGTATAGCGTAGAACTGATACGATGTTTAGATTTAGCTCAGACAATTAAGGTAGCGAGAAGAGAAATTTTCACTTTTTTCTTGATTTTTCAAAAATTAATAAAACGGTTACTTTAGTTGTCTGAGGATTTATCCAGGATTTAGGTGTTCAAAACAATCGATCGATTAATTGGCCTGATTGATTGGCAGCTCGTTATCATGTCATTATTCACTTTTTTGCAGGGCATAACGCAAGTGTTTTCTGGTCTAGGGCTGATTACCGGACCAACTATTGGAGCAGCTCTTTATACGGTAACAAACTCCTCGTAATTACAATAACGCAACAACAACATGTGCATTAATATTCAAACTAAAATCAAATGTTTTATTTGAGAAAAAAACAAACGATGAGGGAAATTGGATTTAAGTTTAAAGATACATTGAATCTCTTTCGAATTGTTAATACTAGTAAGTTTAGCAATATTACATGGGCTAAATAATGGATTCTTAGTGAAAACCCACTTCACTAAGTGCAGCAATGGCTCGACATTTGAGTGAATGAGGTAATCAAATATTTAATGACAGTGATTATTCGATTCTAAATCTCAGTGATTATCTGTTTATTAGAAATAATTAAATAGAACATATGCATCCGACGTCTACGTGTGGCATACTATCATCACGTGACATATACTAACATCACGTGTCATATAGTGAAATCTCATGTGGTATCCTAATCATCACGTGACATGTACTAATATCACGTGTGTATTTATATTTCAGGCTGGTGGTTACTTTTTGCCGTTTTTGGTACTCGGCGTCGTTCTACTTGTGATCGCTCCGATATGTATGTGTATCCTTCCGCCCTCAGAAATAGGCAAGTTAGATCTCACTTACAATTCTTTGAGAATCACACAAATCTAATGGAAAATAAATTAATTTTATTTTTTTCCGCCCTCCTCAAAAAGATTGCCTTATAAAAACTCGAGAAACAAGGAATAAAACAAGTCTGGCCTAACACAGTGTACATGGTAGTAGTGGTGAATTTTGTTTCTCGGCAACCCGGCTTTACACATTCACTGTGACATAATATTTTATTTTATGGCAAACAAAATAAAATACATTTGCCAAAATGACTTCGCTGGCTATTTGATCTATACTTGCAATAATTACAAGTCACGTGTTTATATTGTTCATTACAGAAGACAATATAAGTAAAGGAAATTGGTGTCCATTATTAGTGATGCCGGGTATTATTTTAGCAATGTTAATACGTGTAGTGTCTGCTATTGAGATTACCTTCTTAGATTCAACACTGGCGCTCGCACTTATAAATGTAAGTATTTGGGTATTACCATATAAGGCTATGCAGGTTGTACAAGGTGACGAAGATTCCGTTTGAAGTCACGTGAATAGCGAGATGATCGTGAGGTAACATAGAGTCTGTCTCAGGTTGTTTTTCTAGTAAGATTTGGCGTGTTAGGATATAGACCTTTCAATGTGTTCATTAGACTACTGGACAAAACAATTTTTATTGAAAGACGTGTGCATAAATGTGATCTTAAATATATATCATGTATACAGCGAGTGAAAAAACACAAAAAAACACCTTAAATCGGGAACAAAATTAAAGCGGGGAAGTCGTCACCTGCGCATGCGTAAAATGGCCATAGCGTGTCATGGTTTACAAACAAGCGTCTATCCATGGTAGCGTGTGTTATCGTCGCTTGGGACTCAATTCCCGCGCGTGCGCAGGTGACGACCCTCGCGCTTTAAACTGTAACGCGTTCTGGGCGGGCCCGGGGTAAACAATACAAAGAGCTCTTCAAACACGCCGTAGTCGAAACTATGTTTGTTCCAGTATGCATTTCATTGCAGAGACTTTGATAGTTTTGATATCATCATAATAAACATATTTTTTTGAAAAATATATCAGTTGCCGAATTACACTGTACAGTATATCGCACCCAGGATATCGCACAGTCACGACGAACTTGTTGACAGCGGTGATACTCGCTCGAGCGAGCCAGTGCAGGCGACAGTCATTTATACTGATTTTACCTATTATCTTTCGGTAAGGTAACCCTTTTATCAAACTGTCAATATATCACAGTGTCCATAACCCCCCCCCCTCATAAAACACAATTAAAGTCAGTTTTCGAAAGATACTAATTTAGTATCAATGTTTGCTATTCATGATCTGGGCATAACTTACCATAACTTACCATAACCCATGGGTTCTAGTACATTCTTTTCTAACCATGACTTGCATAAAATTAAAACATCGAATAATGCACTGATACACTGGTATAATATAATTGTAAATGATCTTTCATTTGACAACAAAACACCGAGGATCATTCACCCTCAGTGTCTTCTCATTTCTACACCAAACATAAAAGATTTATAAATAGTCCAAGTACTACTGAGATCTGGTTTAAAGCGCGGTGGTCGTCGCGCAGCGCGTGTTCGAATTTCATGTAAATAAACAATGTATTTTACACGCGTTGTATACGTCGCTATGAGTCCCATATCGAACAGGACGCGACACGACGACTGCCGCCCTTTAAAGTTGTAATCATGGATGAGTTTATTCATGATGTCGTGCATTATGAATACAGCACTGCTGTGTTGCTTTTTATTTCAAAGCTGGTCAGTTTGCTTTTTTTCTTGTTTACAGTTGAATGTTACCTCTACTGGTTTGTTAGGAATATTATTCCTGCTAACAGGCCTGGGATATGGACTGTCGGCGCCACTCTGGGGCTTGGCTGGGGATAAGTGGGTAAGTTACGTTCCCTCACCTTGCACAGATTAAATGGCGGTGGTCGTCGTTTAGTGTGCGTTCAATTTTTATGTAGTCAAAGCCTTCAAATAGTTGCTGTATACGTTTCATGGGAACCTTTATATCTTTATTACAATTCATTCATAATTATTCATGTTTGTTTTATTAAGGTAAACAGATTAGAGTTATGTAATAAATCTTTATTATAATATTTCATCTTACATCAAGTGTTTGTTCCTAACAATACTTGCCAACGCGTCCATAGGCTGATCAATCTCGCGTGATATGCTAATGTGTATTAAAGTGACCAATCACTATTGTTCTATGTTTCAGGATATCATCAAAGAATTAAATTTACTTGGTTTAGTGTTCGGATCTGTGGGATATTTACTAATTGGACCCAGTCCCATACTTCAAGTGGACGCGTACGTATTATGTACATGTACTGGTGTACTCTTAGCACAACAAACCTGCTTCCTTCATCTATATAAATATTTATAAATTTCAAAATTCACACCGAAAAGTGTTATTAACATTGACCGATTGAATGATAATATTGGAACTTTTTTTCAACTAACGTCATTGCGCACTACGCTTGTTGATTGACTGGTTGGATTCAACTACTATTGACATTTATAAAGATGAAGAAACGGGTTTGTTGTGCCGAGAGTATATTGGTAGAAATAAATAGCATAGTTGTGTACGAGTGTCCCGTGGGTGAGATGGCATAATAATAATAATGTGCCAACCTTGAGCTACGCCTGGAGTCTGGGAAGACGTCTGCTTTCAGCGGCAAATGTTCCTTGAAGACTAAAATGTTGCTTGAAGATTAATATAAAGCATTCTACAAGCTTGACAGATCGATTTGGGGGGGGGGGGTCGGTAATTAACAACAAACTTACTACGAGCTTCAACTAGTATCTTTTTCTTTTGATATTATGTTGCGAATGAGGTATCCATTTTCGTTTTGTGAATGCTTCGCGAGGAGTAAGGATCTGCCACGTGACGGTAACTACTGGTGGCACATCCCTATCATATAGTAGAAGTGATTTTTAACTTGCAATCGAACAAGGACAAATAAAGTAAAATATAAACAAGGAAACGTTAAGGAAACACTCCCAGTTCAGCATGTATTCTCACAGCAAATTTATTTACTAGATTAAAAATACAATTAAAAAAACGTAATGAAAGCAGTACAACAAATGGTGTTCCGTGAATCACTGGTGCAATCCCTGGGATTGACGGCACCCCTTTAGGCCATGGAACCTTGCAAATAGTACAATCTCACTGGTTCTCATCTCAACACAAGATAAAATTTAAAACCTACACACCACAGTTATAGTTTCAGATATAGCTAGGTTCTTTTCTACATGGAATATTAAAATATAATTTTTCATCCAAATCTAGAAGTAATGTCACACTTTGTTTGTTTGCTTTAAAATTGAGATTGAATTCACTGAAAAATATAGAAATGTGAACAATTTGCCCAAAATTTAAGCGTGAAAAAATTTAAGCCCTCAAAATGGTTGAAGAAAGTGCAATAGTATAGTTCTGTCACGGTGACGATTTCCATATGAACATGATACATTTGCAATACCCGTGACACCCGGAATCTTCATTGAAAACTGTCCGTCACATATAATAACCAAAAAAAAAATACATTTCTTTTCCAGGAGCGTTGCTATTATGGCTACTGGTCTGACACTTATGGGAATTGGTGTCGGAGCTGTCATTACATTGGTGTCCGACATGGTGACAATCGCAAGGTTCAAACATTTTCTTTATTTATTCAAACAAAAAAATGAAGCGACATATAAATGCGATGTGCTAAAATTGTAAATATTCACAATTAAATTATCTTCAACATGTTTTTCATTGGATGTAATTGCTGCTGTAATTACACGGTCTAACACAGAATTACCAAAACAAACTATCTGTTATGATGTTTGGATATTCTCTGTACCATGTCTGAAGTCGTCATATGGTACGCCCAACAAAAATATAGTGAATTATTAATTGCTTTTTGCTGTGGCATGATACAATCTAGCATTGACCACATTGAATTGAAAACAAATTTAGTTTTCATCACTAACTAAAATTAGCGGATTTATCGTCGTAGAGGGCGTTGAGTTATATAACGCCAGAAAATAGTGAAATGCCGTGCGAGTTTCCCGACAATCACAATTACGAGAAATACATATTTTGTTGGAATTTAAAATAAGTTGGCTTACAGTAATATGCACTTCAA